AAGGGTCGACCATGTTCACAATGGAATTGAATCGTCTGCGCGGCGGATAGCATCCTCAAATTCCTGCAGCGAGCGCCGCTGCTCCTCGAACTTTCGATCATTCGCGTTGTTCAACCGAGAGAAGCGGAGCTCTGTAGGAAGGCCGTGATGGGGCCGTCTTTTCGTTCAGTAGGAAAGAGGTTCGAGGAAATCACAAATGACAAAAAGGGAAACTCAGAAAGGAAGAAGTAGCTAGAGGAAAAGAGGAATTTGGAGATGGGTATGTAGAAAAAGATGAACCGCAGGCGGGGCGATAGATCTTCTTCGGTTTCTTCCATCCCCCCCCCCCCTCCTTCGAGAGACAGAGACAGAGCTTAGAGGTTTTTTGTTCTCCTCCTCTTCCTCTATCCTTCCTCTTCTTTGGCAATCTAGAAAAAGCACGGGCGGTGAAGTGTTTGAGTGGGTCTGTAGAGGTCACTATATCGAGAAGTAAACTAGAGTGGTGAGGGATGGGATATGTATGATTGAAGGGGTGGCGTGGTGATATGAATTTTGGGCTGAGATTGTGAGATGATAGCAGGGTGGATCACCGATGGATGAAAAGGGAAGGGACAAGGGTAGCTCCTTTGGGATTGGGTCGGGCAACGCGATGCTGCGAGCAACTCAGTGTATTTTGACACTAAACGACAAAAAGATTGGGTCGGGCAACGCGATGCTGCGAGCAACTCGGTGGGTTTTGACACTAAATGCCAAAAAGTGATACAGTAACAAACATCTTGGGCCAATAAAGCGTACCCAGCTATTATATATAAAAGAATCATTTAGTCCAATCAGTCTACTGACTACTATACTGAACATCCTCTTTCCAATAAGTCTTCAACTTAGTAAAATATTCATTGATACTAGAACTAACCTGTTTGCATGATAGATCTTAGTCTAGAGGTCTACTAACCTATCTGGATCTACTTGAGCATACCTCATTTTCAAATCTTCCTAGACTTTATATGTATTCTCAGGAGCACTTCTACTATGCTATATAGTATTGGTGCTTTAATGTACAACTTAAAGTTGTACCATAACATTAAATGTATAAGTTTAGGTTGTACCATAAAGCAATTTGTACCATTATGTTATGGTACAACTTTACAACTTGAAGTTGTACCATCACATAAAAGTACAAGTTCAAGTTGTACCATAAAAGAATTTGTACAAAATGTATAGGTACAATATGAAGTTGTACCATAACGTAAAAGTACAATTTTAAGTTGTACCATAAAGGAAAAATCCTATAGCACCAATACTATATAGCATTGTAAAATTTCTCGTATTCTCAGTGCTAGGTACACTTTCAGTTGGGGTTTCATCAAGAGAGTTAAGAAGCCAACCCAATACCTAAGTGTTGTTGGCATCCCACTCTTCAAAGTTGGGATCAGTAGAGCTTGGTTGTGGTTTTGAGGCATCAATGTAACCAAGCCTCTTCCTTGTCTTCAGGGCAATCGTCAAATATCTGCTCCCTAAGTTGTAGTTCTTTCCATTAAACTTGATTGCAACAATGGATTATGGCACCAATTGATCTGTGAAACTAGTAAAGGAAATGACTGTAGACGTCTGCCTAGAATTGGTATTCATGATGAATGAAACACTGGCAGAGTTCTAGCTGCGCTCTAACACCCTAAAAATAGGGTTGAATGAAACTTTGTTTCATTGGATTGAAAGTGAGGCTTACAAGCAGGATAAATCAAGAAACCCTACCATCTACAACTAACGATAACTAAATAGTAATTAACTAACTACTGCTAACTAACAATTGAAAAAACCAATGAAATATATACAGGTGACTTATTAAGACATGACTTAAGTGAATAGACGGCGACGGCGTCAGGTTGTTGAAACGACGTCGAAGGGGGCTTCTTCGAGCAATACAAACCAAGAATGGTCTCTGGACACGAGTTCGGAGCACTGCTCAACCCTGGTCTTCTATTTTCCTTCGGAATGATGGCAGAGAGAGAGGCTATGAGCGGTGGAGATCTAAGGTAGAACATAGGGATCAAGGTCAGCCACTGCCTCTTCTTCCTTGCTTCATAACTAATTCGCCTATTGTCGCCTTTGTTCTTGTTCCAAATGATTAAAGGGTTGAGTAAGCGAAAAAGTTAAACTACTCACAAAGTAAGTTGTGAGTAGATATTTACAGAGACAAGAGAAAGGGTAAAAAAAAAAAAGAGAAGTGATGGGCCATTAAATTCTCAACCACCTTTAATTATCTAACCCTCTTTCTCTATCTCATTTTTTTTTTTTGCAATGGATATTGGTCAGTGATAGATTGTTTTTTTATTACTGATATTAGTATGTGATGATAGGATATAATGATGTTCATGCGATGGATATTTGTTTGCGAAGTAATGGATATTGTGTTTTCCATCAAAACTAAACACACTATCAAATCTTAACGCATAAGGCTTGCAACCTTAGTTAGGGATGCCTGCTGAGGGCCCATGGGTCTTCGGCCCATGAAACAATAATATTAGTTTGCAATGAATGGAGAATAGTTTAGGTGGTTCAGATATGTGTAGTTGGTATTAGTCTGCGATGGTCAGATATTAATATGTTCGTCGTGGGTATTTTTCTGTGATGGTCAGATATTAATCTGTTCGTGGTGGGTATTTGTCTGTGATGGTCAGATATTAATCTGTTCGTCGTGGGTATTTGTTTGCGATTGTCAGATATTAGTTTGTGTGAGGTGGGTATTAGTCTCTATGGTGAGGATATTAATTATGGGCTCACTAGATATTGGTCTTAGAGGATATTTGTTATGGTGAACGGATATTATTCTGGGTGGTTTGGATATTTGTTTTGTGTAGATGTGTTATTCTGACGAAGTGATGGAAAGAGAGGAGGAGACTCGCATATGATTTTTTTTAATTTGTGGGCTCCCTTTTCTCTGTAGCTGGATAGTGAAAATGGGTCAGCCTTTTTTTAATTTATGGCCCCCTTTTCCATGTCTCTGTAAGTATATACTCACAATTTACCTTGTGAGTAGTTTAACTAGGTTGAGTAAAGGGGTTGACGAGGTCGTTCTAGGAGGATGAGGATGACAGAGCGGCGACTGACATGATCGATTGGAGGAAAATTAGACAATATGGCCGGTTATATGTCACATATGGCCGGTTAGACAATATGTTATTTACCCATAGCTAACACTAACAACCGAATGATTCTAGTGGTTAAGTAACCAATTTTTTGGTTTGATTATAATGTTTAACTGGAAAATCACCAACCTTTTATCAGTCCTATCTAGCATTGTGGTGGTCCTAATATCATGGTTTGAGTGTTTGACAATGATTGTAAGTAGATTGTATTCCCATATGTTTTATATAAATGTTGAAATTCATTTGATTTTAATGGTTTTCACGTTTCTACATATTATGTTAAACCGACATAAATTGATTGTACCATTGATCGAATCATACTACTTGCAAAACCAACACATCGGTATAAACTAGTTTGACAACCTTGCTTAACATGAGTTGGTGCTTGTAGTGTGGTATTTGCAGTGTTAATGTCATGGCAGCCGGTTGAACCTGGTATAACCAGTGTTGGTCATGAAACCAGTTGGAATACTATCGGTATGATCGAAATGATCGATCTCCGGCCTCTAACCAAATTAAAGTTATTTTAGTGAATTTAATTAAAATTTTCATTTATATTTTATTTTATGAATCTAAAAATTGAATGTTTGATATTATTTGTTGGATTCAAATATTTTTCACATTTCTATATATTTATTAAACTAACACGAACCAATCGTAGGATCTTTACCACTTGATAAACCGTCACATATATAACCCCGTTTGACATCTTAGGCGAGTAAATGCCAAGTTTGGTCACTGAGTTTACGAAAACGTAATATGTTTAGTCACTGAAAAATTAATATTATTTTTGGTCACTAAGTTTAGTTAAAATGCATGTTTGGTCACTCTTCGTTAGTCTCCGTCCAACTCCTTTAACAACGTTAGTTTTTTTTTTTTTTGCTGACGTGGCTAACAGAATCTCCTAATCAACCACTTTTAACCCAAAATAGTTTAAAACCCGACTCGCCATTTCACAAGCACCCAACCCAACCCCTGGAAACCCCTCTCCTTAGTCACCCGCCACTAGAAGAAGATCATTCCTTCCTCCGTCCCTTTCGAGCTGATGATGACTGACGAGCTGCCCACAACAAATCAAAATGAGAACAAAAATCCCATATCCATATCTCTTCCGATTACTTCCCAAATCCTTCTTGTCTTTCGCTAAATCATCGTTAGCTAAGGGTGGGCACGTGGGTGGTTAATCCGCAGATTGATATCGATCCACCCGCAAACAACCCGACTTGCAACCTGTTGGTGATTGATGCGGGTGGATTGTGGATTGATAAATCTCTCACCCGCACTTATGTGGCTGGGTGGTGGGTGGATTGTGGGTCGTCCAAACGACCCGCATCCTATTTTCACATGAAAAAATATTGTTTTGACTACTATTATTGGTTATTGTGTTGTGTAATATCCACTAGATTTTGGATATGGGAATGCAAATTATTGTTAATATCCATTAAATATTGGATAAAAACTTTAAATTATTAATTTTATCAAAATCACAAAATGCATAAGTTTTTTCTACACAATTAGGTGATAGAGTAGTAAATTTTTTATGCAAACACTACATGAATTCACCTAAGAAAAAGTGAGAAGTATTTAAATTGATACAGTCTTACTAATTTACTATGAACTTATTATAAATTTTAGTCAACTTTCTTAATTGCTAGTTGAAGAATTGCTTTTGCGGGTTAACCCACGACCCAACCGCACTCATCCGCCACCCACCCAACCGGACCCGCAAAAGAATGTGGGTGGATTGTGAGTCACAATTATTCCAACTCGCTAGTAAGCGGATGGGTCAATTTGAAACAAAAATCCACCCATCCAACTCATTGCCCACCCCTATCGTTAGCCCAAAAAAACCCAAACCCGATTTTGCAATTTCCAGATATAGTTCTCCATCTTTTTTTTGTTTTGGTAAATAATTCAAATAGTTATGGAAAAGCATTACGTCCAATAGGATTTGAACCTATACCAAAGGTTTAGAAGACCTTTATCCTATCCATTAGACAATGGACGCCTTTGGGTTCCAAATTTTTTGACTACATTCAAAACAACGCGCTTTCTAGATGATCTCGCTAGATCAGGGAATTTTTTTTAATAAAATCTTTCTAGTTACTTCATTTTCTATTTCTAGTTGAGAGAATCTTTAAGAAAAGCATTTTATTTCTACCGAGTAGAACAAGCATCCAATATCTATAGTTCTCCATCTTCACTTCACATGCTAAAATCTTTTCCCATTCGCAAGAGGAAGAAATAGTGACTAGTTAATATGATATAGACGCAATTTGCGTCACTCTTTCTAAAAAAAGAAATAGTGACTAACATGTCACGTAAATCTAGTGATCAATTTTGTATTTACCCCATCTTGGGCATTCCGCATTTGTTTGACGTTGAATTTGAAAAGGCGGAGACGGGAATAGGAACAGAACGGCAATAAACAAAACGAAACCCTAAACCCAAAATCGAATCCCCGCTAGGTCTCATGCGTTCATCCCTCTCTTTCACCGGAAGGAAGCTTCGTGGGCTGCTCAGGCTCTCCGCTACCCCGTAGGGATTCGACTTGGTTTAGATTGTCGATTGTCGTCAACAGTGGACGACATTCTACGATCATTCCGTTGCTTCATCCATTTCAATTGATCAGATTGAAGCCTGCTTTTTTTTTCTCCTTGGTTGCTCCGTTACCTTCCTCGTTCACGCCGCTGCCGTCTCCCGCTCTCCTTGCTCTTAGCTCCTCTCTCTCTCTCTCTCTCTCTCTCTCTCTCTCTCTCTCTCAGCTGAGTCCCTCGCTTTCTATCTGTATCCAAAGTCGTTGACTAGCCAGCTGTGGCGCCGCAGCTGCCTGCGCGGCGCATTTCCTCTGCTCCACTCAAAAGGAAACTCCCTCTCCTAACTCCACCCCACCGCCGTTATCGTGGTTCTGAGGTCACTACTCATCCACTCTCGTTCCTGCGGTTATTTTTACTACTCTGCTTTTATTTCCTGTCACCTTGCTCAGTGGTTCTTTTTTTTTTTTTTTTTGTAATTTCATCGGGCGTTGTTCTATCCGAGCATTTCTTGCTCTGTGTATCTTAGGATGTGCCTCAATTTCTGTGGTTTAACTCCTCCACCTTTCAATTTTCCAGCTCTCTCCTTAGCCTCCAGTCTTCCCGTTGAAGAGCAGCTCCTGAGTTTGTTAACATCATCTGGAGCTTAAGGTGGGGTTTTGGGCCTTTTTTCAGCTCCTTTGTTCATTGGCAGTATGTCAGTACTCAGTAGTATTGATTTGGTTTGCTGGTCTTGGTACCCAGAAACACTTGTGAAAAGCTTGCATGTAGTGAGGATGTTGATATTTGTGGTAACTATCAATCGTAGCATTAGAATTCTTACATGGCAAATTTGCATCCTTTCTTGGATTCTGAAGGTGGTTCAAATTTGTCTTATGATGAACTGATCTTTGTTTCAAGAAGAAAATAAAGTGAAAGTGTTGTACTTGCTTGGTTAGGAAATGGAGCCGGCTGTTTTGGATGATATTATTCGGCGGCTTTTGGAGGTTCGCAGTAGACCTGGGAAGCAGGTCCAATTATCTGAGGCCGAAATAAGGCAACTCTGTGGGGCATCTCGAGAGATCTTCTTGCAACAACCCAATTTGTTAGAGCTTGAAGCACCCATCAAGATTTGTGGTACATTTACTGCTACCTGATGTTCTCATATGCAATTGAATGAACTTGCGTTGTTTGTTGGTTTTTCATCTATTGTTGTCCTCATTACATGTGGTTCATCTCAACCTTTAAGTCGACGTGTGAAGCTTTTCTTTTATGGTACCTTATAACATTTGTTGGTTTAGCTGTAGGTTCCCTGAATCATGGATTAGATGCTAGGTGTGGCTCCCTGCTCTTTTGTGTGCCTATAATAACTAATTAGTTTGCCCCCGTAAGGCTTGACTCTTAATTTGAAATATTAGGATTTGAACACCGGGGGCTTGTGGTATAATATCCGAGAAGAGTGAATCTTTCAATTAATTCAGTGCTTCATCATTCCTTGCTGGTGATTCTTGTCATTGCATAATAACTTGCATGAAGCTCACTGTGGGCTATTAGATTTTTCTGGAGAATCTTCAAAGGCTCCTTTCAATGATTTTAATTCTCCTTTCATGAAGGCCTGTTAACTTTTATCTAACCTGAATTACCATACTCGACCCTATATCATCCTGAAGAAGAAGGCGGAAATTGAGAGTGGGAGGCTGGGGGCTTTATCTATTACGTGTTTGAGCTGGTTTCTTCCTTTATTATTCTATCACTTACGGAATCACACAGCTTTCCTGAAAGTCTATTCAACATACGTGGCTGATGGGCATTATTGGTGATCTGCAGGTGATATCCATGGTCAATATTCTGATCTTCTTAGGCTATTTGAATATGGCGGATTGCCTCCAAATGCTAACTACTTATTTTTGGGAGATTATGTTGATCGAGGCAAGCAAAGTCTTGAGACAATATGTCTTCTACTTGCATACAAAATAAAGTACCCAGAGAACTTCTTTCTCTTGAGGGGAAACCATGAGTCTGCTTCTATTAACCGTATATATGGTTTCTTCGACGAGTGTAAAAGAAGGTTTAATGTCAGACTGTGGAAGACATTCACGGATTGCTTTAATTGTCTCCCAGTGGCTGCTCTAGTTGATGAGAAAATTCTCTGCATGCATGGTGGTCTTTCCCCAGATTTGCATAATTTGGATCAGATCAGAAACTTGGCTCGCCCAACTGATGTACCAGACACAGGTTTGCTCTGTGATCTGCTGTGGTCTGATCCTAGTAAAGACGTTAAAGGCTGGGGAATGAACGACCGGGGGGTTTCGTTTACTTTTGGTCCTGATAAGGTGGCAGAATTCCTTCAGAAGCATGATTTGGATCTGATCTGTCGTGCTCACCAGGTTACACCCATAATTTTTTTTATCGTAATATTTCATATTGCTATCATGTGTTCCTCATTAACCCTTTAAGACGGTTCACAACACAATCATGAGCTTTTCCCTTTCCTTTAAGATGTGCTCCTCAATCATTGTTGTGGCTGCTTCTGATTCTTGATTGTATTGTATGGTCTTATTTTCCATTTGCTTCTATTTATTTCCTTGACGGGTATACTCCTGTCTCTCATCTTCTCATGGAGGAATTGATTCTTGATATCAATTCCTTTGATCCTTTGCATATAAAGTCCTCTGCTCAAAAAAAAAAAAAAAGTCCTCTGTCCTCTGATGTCTACTTTTGCCCTTTAAGACGGTTCACAACACAATCATGAGCTTTTCCCTTTCCTTTAAGATGTGCTCCTCAATCATTGTTGTGGCTGCTTCTGATTCTTGATTGTATTGTGTGGTCTTATTATCCATTTGCTTTTCTTTATTTCCTTAACGGGTATACTCCTGTCTCTCATCTTCTCATGGAGGAATTGATTCTTTATATCAATTCAATTCCTTTGATCCTTTGCATATAAAGTCCTCTGCTCAAAAAAAAAAAAAAAAAAAAGTCCTCTGTCCTCTGATGTCTACTTTTGCTCTTATCTGGAGTCCATTTGTGGCTGCTTCTGATTTGATTGTATTGGATGGCTTCTGGTAGTTTTCCATTTGCTTACATCCATTTGTTTTTATTTATTGCCTTAACTGGTATACCTGTCTCTCATTTTCTCATGGAGGAATGGATTCTTGATATCAATTCCTTTGATCCTTTGCATCTAAAGTCCTCTGTCTGGCATCTCGTTTTCCTCTTATACGGAGTCCTTAGAGCTCTGTGGAGGATAGTTTTCAGTATTTGGGCCTTTGGCTGACGGTTTGACTTCAGTTTTCCTTTGATGGTTGGTGCAGGTTGTGGAGGATGGATACGAGTTCTTTGGCAACAGACAACTTCTAACCATATTTTCTGCGCCGAATTACTGTGGGGAGTTCGATAATGCTGGTGCAATGATGAGTGTGGATGAGACACTTATGTGCTCATTTCAAGTATTAAAACCTGCTGACAAAAAGTCGAAGTTTAACTTTGGGTAAATCACCAGGAGGCACCAGCAGGGTTTTAGGTAAATGCTACACCTGCAGTTGCTTGAACTTATCATCTTTCCATTCTAGAAGTTTCTGAATTTAAGTCTTGATGCTGGCATAGAAGTTGCACTTAACCATGTCCTTGAGAGTCCAGCTTTGTATCCTGAGATATGCAACATTTTAGGAGTCAGTATTAGGATTTTTTATGATGTTTTCGAATGAGTTATGTACTGTTCAGGGGAGGTTTTTGTATGATGTTTTCGAATGATGAAATTCAAAATGGATAAAGATTATATTTCATATTTCAAATGTTACTTTTTGGAAAGATAGATTTAGAGAATAGGGCCATATATTAGGATTTTTTTCCGATGAACCATATGTTAGATTTTAAATCCATTACGGATTATAATAAGTCAAGTCATTGATCTTGACATCTATACTGCTCCATTCTTCTGTGATTTTAACAGAGAAATTCTTTACTCCACTAGATTTCAGTGAAAATTCTTTGTAGAAAATCCAGCACCTCAATGAATGAGTTTTGGTCAAACTGCATTGTCCAAAATCCAGCATCGTGATATTACTTATTTACATGAGGCCGTCTTTGTTTTTATGTTTTTTAAATTATTACTTGCTCTTTGAAGCTGCCTTTGTTAATCAAAAGCATTCACTTTAAAAGTGCATCGCCTCCTGATTATCCTTGCTATCATTGCAGTTCTTCCTCGGTACCAAAGTACGACGATAAGCCCTCAGATTTACTGTGGGTGGTGGGCTTTAGGTGAGTGTTTAAGAATGCCCAAGATGCAATCAAATGTGAAGATTAAGGTGCTTTTAGTTCATTGTTGGATGAGAAAAGGTGGACTAGAAGAGCGGCCATAAAACATCCATATGCTTTGAGAAAAAGGCATAGTTTGGAGGTAGAAAGGCTGTGAACTAGTAATAGCAAGTTGGGCGTTTTGATAATGTGGAAACCACTCTAATGGCTGGAAACCGGTGAACTGACGTCGGAGTTACTTGATTGCTTCCCCCTTAAATTTCTTCTTGTTTTAACTCCCAAGACCGGACTGTTGGTCGTATCTTACTTCTAATCCGATGTGTTTGCCTGCTTCATATACTCCATTCGAAACTGAACTACGAAAGGTAAATGTTTTCCCTTTGCTGTTGTGAAGCCAGACCTGGTCCCCTGAAGGTAAATAACATGTTTGTGCAGAGTACCAAGGTAGGGTTATGCTCGTGAAGTAGGTTGATCTATATGTGACAGAATGAGGTTTTGGCAAGTGGAGCTAGTACTTTAGCAGAGTCAATCGAGCGTCCGAAGGGCCAAAAGGTCCATGAAAAATGGATCGTCAGTTGCCATTATACTTGTGATGAGTAGTGCCATAGACGGGAGTCTAGAGCTGGATCGAAAAAGAGAGTGACGACATGGTTGAGCATGGAAGCTCGCAGAGAATGCAAAGGAGGCACTTCATCTCAGCGGTAGCATGTACAATGGCGAGATAGTGGGATTCGCTTTTGGTACAACTTAGGTTTCTCATCTTTGGTCTAATTCAATTTCAGTTTGATTCGCTTTTTTTTCCCGTATTGTTAAAAGAATCTACAAAAGCAAATTTAATTTAATTTAGTAATTATCATAATTCCAATTTAACGAAAGAAAGAATACGTCGTCGACAGATTATTAGCCAAATCAAACTCATGACTTTGTGTCTACCAAAACCTTCGATGGGGTGGCCGTGATGGAACCACAAACAGAAAGTCACTTCCTCTGAAGAAAAAAGATACAGGGTGGAGACTGAAGAAGAATTAGTTAATATGATTAATTATTGGCCGATCTGCCATTCAACCTATCTGATCTGTTCTTGAATCTTGAGAGATTCTCTTTTTTCTTTTCTTCTTCTTTTTCCATGAATTTTATCTTATATTTTTGCCTTTAGGCCGTCTAGCTTCTGACTGGTTGGTGGTGGGAAGAACAAATACCATGTTCCTACATTCTCTTTCTTTCTTTGCTTCCTTTCGTTTTAAGGCTCTTATACTTAACTGGATTTGGGCTCACCGCTTAGCCGGATGAATTACTATGTCAGTGGTAAAAACAATATGACCACATGAACTTTGTATCTATTGGGTTTAAGCACCGACTTTTGTGTACACATCTTAATGTGTTATCTTTCTTTTATTTCATCAAACGAACCAGGTGAAGGTGTTATCAGTAATCTCTCATCTCATAATTGAATTTTTATCTTCATAGTTCATTATCCTACATTAATGTGCATTTATGAAAGTAATATATTGTTGGTGTTATGCAAGTGTGCCTATAAATAAAGCATTCTATTATACTAAAAAATATATGACTGTTTTCCGGAGAGGAAACTCGAGTGTTTGTTTTCAATTAATGCACATTTTACTTCTTGAACAACGACAAAACACGGTTCACACCTCTTCAAATAATGTTCGAAAGAGAGTGTTTGATGTTTTGTTTTTGATGGCTGAGGAAACTAAGATAAATTACTTATATTCCAATGGAGGTTCAGTTAGAGCTCTAGAAACTAAAGACAACATTTATGGCTACAATGGAGAGAAATGATAAAATTTGATATTGTGTGTCAAATGTTTGGTTGTGGAACCCTTTTTCGTCTTCGTTTCTCCTATTTATAGCCACCGGGTGTAACGACCTTGGTAACCGCCTAGGTCACTGCTAGTTGGCCTATTACTCCAAACCACCTCAAGTCCTCATTGATGCCTTGGTGATCGGTTAGTGATTGTCATCTGGGTGGCTTGACATCGCGCTTGACTTGTGTTGAGTATAGCTCCATCTTGTCGCCTCGTCCTAAATAGATGGGGTTGGAGCCTCCTTTCCTTGCCTCCATCATGTTGCTTACGACTCCTTGATAGCCCTAGAGACCTCATACTTAGTCTCCATGTTCCTCTCATCTTCGTACCACCCTCCATCTTGTCTCCTTTCATTGATCATGTGTTGATGGGATGAGAACTTAGCCCCTTTACCCATCAAGACTCCACACTTAGTCTTGGAGTGCTCGTCATTGTATCATATTACTGTCTACTCCTAATGTCTTCCCCCATTTCAAATTTCCTGCTCTATGAGCGTTTGTAGGAAGGGTAGAATAGGGAGTGTCAATTTTTTTCTTTTTCTCTGTGGAACGGGCCAACTTACCATACATATGCGCATTTAAACGGGTCCAGGAGTGTCAATTTTTTTCTTTAAGTCCTTTTATTTCTCCGTGGTGGTAAAATATATATGAAAAGGCAAAAACAATACTCCTTTTTATTGCTAAAAAGAAAAAAATTTAACAATAAACTAATGCATGGATTCTAATGGGCTAACCGCTAATCATAAAATAAAAGAGTTGAATGGGTCTGACCTACACGGGATTTGCCCATCAAGTAAAACAAATGAACATTATGAGTTTGTCATTCTAAAACAAGCTATTTTCTCTAGCATAATATATATTATGCTATTATTTCATATCTTAGTGGCTAAAATATAATGTATTTTAAAGTTATTCAATGGTTCAACCTCGACAACCCAATTTTAGTCCATTTTTTTTATCATTTCAAATATATATAATGTAATTATTTGATATCATAATGATTAAATTATAGGGAATCGTTTGGTGTTCGTTAGTAAAAAACTAAACAGAAAGATCTATTTGGTTATTTTTAACATTAAAACGATCCTAAACTTTTTCAGTTTCCTTTTGAAATTGTATAGTTTTATTCCCGAATCAGCGATGTGCAAATGGCGAATTGCAGTCATCTCTTTTCTTTCTTTATTTTTTGTTTTCAAATAGAAAGTTTAAAAGTAAAGAATAATTAGAGTTTGGCATGGGTCGGTCAAACAGGCTGAATTTCAAGTTTTGGTCCGTTTTGATCAAGTCTAATTTATAATCACATGGTTCCCTGATACTCGATAAAAATCTCAATCCAAACCAGTTTGGCAGGTGAGTTCGTGTTTACCACCATTTTCTAGGGATACAGGAACGGTGGTTCCTATCCCAAATCGTGTTGTTCATTCTTGATTTCTTTAGATTTTATCATGGCTTGGCAAAAAACCAGAAAACACAATGATGACAAGATGAAAGTTTTATAAAGCAAATTAATCGGCCAACGGGCCGAGTGAAAGCTAGCAACGATTGTGAGATGCTCATTTCCCGAAAACCGACGGGATAGGCGATTTTTTATTCGATTTTCTGGAATTCGGTTTCTATAAAACTTACTCCGCCTCATAATATTACCAGAAACAATATTGTTTCACAAGGTAACAGGTACTTGATTTTGGTTCATAAGGCTGATTTTTAATCCGTTGCATCATTCATGTCTCTTTCCTACTAAAATTCACTATTTTTATCACGTGTTTCCCAAAAAAAAACTATACAACAATAAGCTACACACCCCATTACATTATCAAATTTCATACCTCACCTTCCTCCGGCCAATGGCCGGGGCCTAGGCTAGTGCTTAATAGAATCCGAATCGATAAGCACCCTTTAAGGATACAGTTGGAGCATAAAGAAAATCACCAACTACACCCAAAGCATCTCAACCATCTCATCTAAAAACATGAGATTTAACTCGAATTGTTGGAAGTTAAATCTCATGTTTTTAGATGAGATGGTTGAGATGCTTTGGGTGCAGTTGGTGGTTTTCTTTATGCTCCAATTGTATCCTTTAAGGGTGCTTATCGATTCGGATTCTATTAAGCATTAACTGATGTGATGGGAGAAGGTTACGCTGGATCTTATACAGCTCTCTAATAACTACCTCATCTTGAGTGATAGTTTCTGTCATATCAAACAAATAATGATTGTATTGCTTGTATATAAAATAAAATAAAAACTATGAATTATACAAAATACAAGTATTGTAAAAGTGTCAACCAAACTATCACCAAAACCAAACAACCTCCCAATGCTAATGAAAGGATGAAAGGACGCACCATCGTTATCGCTCAATTCTTCTTTGGATTCGAATTAATAGATTTGATGATTCTTTTGGATACTTTACCGAATTGATTTGAATCAATTAGTCGAGGCGATGCAATAATTAACCTATACCTCCTCAAAAATTAGTCGAGCCAATGCAATAATCCAACGACCAAAGTAGCATTTGGATTGTAACCGTAATTTCTCGGTATAAGGGTGTGGTTACGGTGCTAATTGTACAATAGTTAGCACCGTCCTAACCAAGGGAAAAACTATTACTAGTTTGAATTAGTAGTGATTTAGTTTAGATGTTGTATTGATTTTATAATAATCCGTAGTGATTTCGTAATTTTTAGTAGCGTTTTTTTGCTAGTTATCACGGTGCTAACCCCTATAAGGGTTAGCACCTAATCTCATCCCTCGGTATAATCTTCAAATGCCTACCCGACCCAATGACATTTTTTTCCAAATTCCACCAGCCATAAGCAACATTAGGGGAAACTCGAGAAAGAATGTTACGATTGTTTTTTTTTTTCGGATCGAAAAATAGGAGGATTCATCAAAGCAAGAAAATAAAAACAAGAAAGAACACGACACATGATTTACGTGGTTCACTAACACAATGTGTGGGTATTATTCTTGGGTGCCCGAAACCAACAGGATATGGGTATGAATATTTAAAAGCATGAATATATATGGTTTAGACAAACCGTCAAATCCGGCAAAAGCCTCTTTTTTCTTAGTCAACCCACTCCAAATTCGCCCCATTGCTTCCCAAGGGGAGCGGTTATGGTGAGTACTACTAAAGTAGTAATCACCGTGGCTACTAAGGGTACGAATGGTATTTTGGTGCTTATTGTTTTGGTAGTGATGCTAATTTTTATTGGTAGTGTTTATATTGGGTAGGAATGGTATTCTGATGCTTATTGTTTTGGTAGTGATGCTAAATTTTATTGGTAGTGTTTACATTTGGCAGGAATGGTATTTTAGTGCTTATTGTTTTAGTAGTTATGCTAAATTTTATTGGTAGTGTTTACATTGTGTTATTAGTGTATATCTGTTTCGATGGATTGGTATTCAATACTGAAAATGAGTTGCTTGACCACTTCCAGAAATACCAATATCATTATAGAAATAAAACAAGAAATCAATGCCAAAACATAAAAAAAAAACTATTCCAATACAACCAATCGAGACGAACCAATACAACCAATACAACTACGGAAAAAATAGTACCATTACACGGCAAAAACTACCAATATAAACAATCAATACCATTATAAGAATCAATATCAATCCATTAAAAAATACTACCATTGCACAAAACACCAATACCATTCGAGAAATAAAAACACTACCATTTGACTAAACACCAATATTATTGCAGATTTAATCAATACTGTTTGAACCTAACTGAGTGTAGGAGTGAGGTTCACTAGAATGGGTCGAGAAGAATGAACGGCTTGGTTGAACAAGAACTTTGAGACAAATGAGAGGGAAGATAGAGTTGAGAGAGAGTGTGTATTTAGTGAGAGAAAGTGATGATCTTAGAGATAGAGTCTGAAAAATCCGATCCCCTCACCCACCGGAGTAAATGCCATATTTATAGGCTACATGGTGGTGG